AAAAATTCCAAAAAAATTCTCAAGTTTTGAAGAAGCACTAACAAACACAGGATCTCAGCAACTCGCGGACCAGAGCCAATCAGGAAATTTGCTCTGGCCTGGCTCCCGCCTCAGGGATGCAATGCGCCTGGTAACGCCACGTCAATTGGCCGCAACGCTGCGCTTCCTCGATGGATTGGGATTCTCGACCAATTAATGAAAGGAATAGGGCCAGATCGGCTGGCGAAAGGAGTGTTTATCCCTTGGAGGCGGGCTCTCCCACTTGGCTCCAGTTCATTGGCCCTTGAGTTTATCCTGCTGGAAGAAAACCTGGCACAATGGGTTAAACACTGGTATTAGTCTAGAACGGTTGGTGTGATAACCTGTGTATTTATCTTCTTCCAAAACTTGAGAATTCAGCCTAACCCCCCTCCTTACACCTTCAAAACTCTGGTTCAAGCTATCCTTACCTAATATGGGACCATTTGACTAGCACCCCAATTTTGTTTTTAATTTTAGAGGGGAAGGGAGGGAGAACGGGGAAACATTTATGTGGGAAACATCAATCACCTCTTGTAGCGCCCCAACTGAGGACCAAACCCACAACCCAGGCACGTGTCCCGACCAGGAATTGAACCAATGACCTTTCGCTTTTTGGGATGACAACCATCCGACTGAGCCACACCAGTCAGGGCAGCACCCCAGCTCTTAATCTGATCAATCCTATATATAGTCTGAACCCTCTGGTAACCCTAACCTGACAAGAATTTACAGTTCCTCAGCTTGAAGGTCCATGCTTTCTTTTACTACTGGGTATTACTATTAATGGCTTGAGAAGAGAGGGCACTCAAATCCAGACAGGGATCAAAAGGCCACCACAAAACACGTAACATTCCATAGAGCCCAAAACAGCAAGAAAATTGCATGCTGAGTTGAAGTTATTTGGCTCAAAATGTCAGCTAGCACTATATTCAATAGGCAACTCTGGTAGCACACTAGCTGGATTCACCCTTCATCCTTATCCAAAGACACATTTGACTGAGGCAGCCAAATACCCTATTTCTAGAATTTGGGATTAAGGAGGGGTTGGGAAGTCACTCAGACTCAGATCTGCTTGTTTCTCCAAGAATTAAATACCTGCCCTTGTCATGACAGACCTCCCTAGACCACCTTCCAGACCCACCTTCACTCATTCTGTCACCTCACACAGGATCCTGGGCTTTGAGGCTCTGCTTTTGGGCAATAGGAAGGACTAAAGTCATTGCTTTCTGAGTAAGGATTCCTGTGGCTTTTTCTTCCACCCCAAACCTCAAGGTACAAGGTAGATGATGCTGGGATAGGGCACCTTAGACAACCAGCACTTAACTAAATCACACAGCTGTGAGCTATCTTGAGTAGTCTACTTACTAGTCAAGTATATGTACTAAGTAGACAAGAGAGAGATATGAAATTTTACTCAACACAAGAAAAGGGGAAACAGGAAATAAGGTGTCATAAGCAAAGTCAATGCATTGGTGGTGGTGGTGGTGGTGGGTGTCCTATGGAACCATATGCCAGTAACTAGGCCAAACAATTTTGCAGGAGTACCACCAACCTCTCTAAAGTCAGAGTTAATATAGGAATGGGCAGCTTCCAGCCACATTCCCCAAAGATGGTAAAGCAGAAAGCCCTCCTCACAGAAAGATGGCCAACTGTGGCCCAAGCTCAGACTCTTCAAAACTTGGCAGCTACAGGTCACAAGGCTCTAGCAGAGATGTCCGAAACTCTTCAAGAAGGGCTTCACGGTCAGGGGAACGAATCCAGCTCAAACAGGTTTCAAGGTACAGGGGGAGGAACCTGGAAAGCAAGAAGGGCGAGGCCTAAGAATGAAGGATAGGCAGAAGGTTGGGCAGCCATTTCCTCCCTTTCATTCACCATGACCCTCCTCAGTAGGCCCACGGATTCCAAGACACCAACTGCCCCTCAGACCCAAGCCAGCAGGCCTCAGCCTCACCATGTAGCACTCTCCTGTGGTAACTTAGTTTGGGCCTCCAGCCTCCGCCAAAGAGCAGCAGCCTCATCCCTCCGATCCAGCCTCCCCAGAGTCTGAAGCAGATGAAAGGAGGCATCTCCATTACCTGTAGCCCCACCCCAGAGGACAGAGACTTAGAACTTGACGCAGTCTTAAGCATCATTTTATAAAAGGGGAAACTGAGGCATAAAGCAGGGAATTGCCTTGCCTACAGTCACACACTGAACAAGGAGTAGATCATTCCTGACTATTCCTATCCCTAAGCACTGCCTGCCCAGGACAAAGGGCTCAGCTAATTCTGCTCCTGTACAACACATTCCCAACACAGTCATTATCTTTGTGTCTGAGGACATTGGGAAGACTGGGGAACTCCTGAGGGGCTTTCATATAAACTTGTATATGTCTTGTGTATGCCTGTACATTTGGGTATATCCCAAGGTATATACAGCACAATCCCATTCACCCTTCCTACACAGGAACATCACTTAGTACCTCCCTCATGGGCATCTTTGTCTTCGTGCACCTGTGCATAGCTGACATGAGGCAAGTATACACACCTGGACACACCTGCACACTGAGGAGGAAGTCCTGTAGTGCTCTGGTATCCTGGCCACTGGCCACCCATTCTAGTCCACGGCTAATCAGGGCAGCAGCCCGAAGCTGTTGTAGTTCCACATCTGACGTATACCCCTGCTCACAGCTGGAAGCAGGCCCTGGGGACCATCCCCAAAGTCAAGAAATGTGTTCCCAGCCACATAGTCATTAAAACCCCAAGTCCCCCTCTATCTCTTATTGCATCAGGAGCCCCTTTCTCTTAAATTTCCTGATGGGTTGGGACACATGAGAATGGAATTGATATCTACCACCACCACTTCCAGGAGGAAAGAGGAAAATTGAAAGTCCAGATCACCTTGTTCTTTGTCCTTAGGTACGGCCTGGAAGAGCAGCTCAAGGCACCTGAAGTGGGACATAGAGCAGAGGTGAAGAGGAGTCAAGCTTGGAAACTCTGGGGTGCATAGGTAAGAATGGAGCTCACCATTCAGAAATTTATCCCTCCACACATCCCCAGGGGCCCTGATTGGCTTCCTGGGCTCACCGGCTAAATTCACTAATTGCCTGTTTTTGGGCCCCTAGTTGCACCCAGGCTTGGCCCTGAAGCAGGTAGGTGGCAGAGACCCAGGATGGGCACTGTGGTGAATCCTTGGTCCCTTTTCTGGCATCTTTCCATAGCTGGGGCATCTTGGGAAGCAGAGATGATGTACGATTCAGCAGCTCCTCACATACTGTCAAAGCATCCTGAGCTCGGCCTGCCTGGATCAGCGCTGCCGCTGCCTCCAAAAACACCTCAGGCATACAGGGCCCTGGGGGGCAGGGGGGTGAGGAGAACTGGAGTGGGAGAAAGATGCAGTGTCTTGAACAAATATGAACTACCACCCCCAACCTCTTCACCAGGCTCTGGTACTATATGGAGACCACCCACTGCTGGCTGCCCTGGATCCCTTGCTCTGGGAAGCCTTCCTGGTCTGGCCCCCATTCTGGACACACAGAACAGAAAAGGAAAAAAGAGAAAACAGCAGTCCTGCTCTACTCCAAAGGAGACTCCAACCCTTTCTTACCCCAACTGCAGAGAACACTGAAGATGTGCCCACCTTTGGCTCCGAGCCATCCAGCAACAGGGCCAGCAGGTCCAAGTAATGCTCTACAGCATCTTCTGCCCTGAGGAGTCATAGGCCATGAGCCTTACATTAGACCCTTGCAAGGTCCTCCAAGGGCTCTTAGCTAAGCAAGGGATGCTCAAGGGCCTTGGGGAGTGGGTCTGGGAGCTCAAACCTGGGCTCAGTATGAATATACCCTATTTACAGACAGATTTTGAAGGAGACTTCAGAGTTTTAAAGATACAAGTTAGTGTCTGGGGGGAGAGCCCTCAGTTCAGGTCCAGTGGCAAGGCAGTAGGTTGAGGAGTGCGGACCTATGTCCTGCCACTAACTCATTCATCCTTCTGACTCACAAGAACAGAAACAAAGTCACACCCCAGAGAGGCATCAGAAGGAGGAAGAGGAGCTCAGGTGAGCAAAACACAACCTCACCTTCCCGTCTGTAAGCATCGGCTTGCTAGCAGGTGTTTGACCTGGCTCAGTGTTCCACAGTGAAGGGGAGAGGCTGGGTCAGGTCGTGGGAGTAGTAACTCTACCTCAATAAGAAAAGGGGAGACTTCAGAGCGAGGCGTGACATTCAAGGCCTGAAAAGGACAAAAAAGGAAGTATATCTATAATCTTTGGGAGCCATACTTCTTTCTACCTATACTCGACTAGTCTCCTCCACACAAGCACCTCAGCAATCCCATATCTTCAGTTGGTATAGCTTCTTACCTCAACCAGAAGTTCCAGACTCTCCAGCTCTGCTGCTGTGTTCCCCAGTTGCCGATATAGGCTCGAGGCCTCCAGAAGTGGGGGACCACAGACTGATCCCCCTTTCAGGGCTGCAACCAAGTATAGCAGAGCTCTCTGTGGATTTCCCTAGAAGGGTGAGAGGACACAAGCCTCAGCCACCCTCACTAAGAAAAAAGCTGTCCATAATATCCATGATTTCCCCAACACACCCTAGCATTATTTTTACCATCTTTCGGAGACAGGTTGCCAGTGCTGTGTACACCTGGACCAACACGGGCCGTGGGCACAGACCTGAGGCTGCTTCATACAGGCTGCTCAGTGCCCTGGGCAGACTCCCTGTGATCAGCTCCTGAAGGCCTGAAAGCAATCAGAGTGTGAGCTTAGAGAGGCCCATAAGGCACAAGTTAAATAAGACATGACAGGAAAGTAATGAGCTTAGGGACCCCTTAAGATGGGGAGTAGTGGGGAAGGAATGTTAGATTGCTAACTGACCTTGGCGAAAGGCAGATGCTGTCAGAAGGACATCCTTCAATCCCTGGGCATCCTGCAGGGTCAATGGGTCATCTGACTCCTTAGCTGGGGGGCTCCAAGTTTTTAGAAGGAGGAGCAGATTCCCAGAGGCCCCATTCTGGGGAGAGAAGGACCAGAGGATCCAAGCCTGTTACTCTTTCTTCTCCTGTCTCAGTCTACCTTGGCTAGACCTTGAATTCAAAGGTCCTCTTGATTCCTGTTCCCTGAATTCTAAGAGACCGATAGCTGTGGGGAAAGAATAAGGGAGGGGGAAAAAAAAACCCTGGGCCAAGATAATATATTCTAGTATATTCCCTCACTCAGAATAAGTCCATGAGGACAAAAGGCAAGGACCATGTTTGAATTACTGATGAAAAGACTGAGACTGAGAAGTGACTTCAGCAAGGTCATGAAAACCCTAACCTCACCCAAGATTATTAAGCTATTTTAAAAACACTCCCAAGAGAATCCCTCCAATGAGGAAACAACAAGAGCAAGGTCACCTAAGATACCTGGAGAGAACTCAGATATTCTGACCACCAACCTAGCACCCTTTCCAGCACATACTGACGCTATTGCAGCTGACAGGGGAAGGAGGAAGGAAAAGACCCTTAAATCCAGGTCACTTCCTGAATTACCTGGTTGCCATTCAGGGTCTGCAGCAGCAAGGTCAGGTCCCCAAGACTATCAGTGGTCAGCCAGAGGGCAGCCTGCAGGCCAGCCAGGTGGTGAAGGGCAGGGAGCAGACTCGGCAGAAGGGAGGAAGCACGGAGGACAGAGTTCCACAGCCCCATGAGGCCATGTTCCAGCCTGGGCCCCACCTGCGTCTGGGTTTCCAGCACTGTAGAGTATACACACATAGAGTTGAGATAGGATCTCACCTCTGGCTTTCCTTTTATGCAGGAGCCCAAAGACCACAAAGATGCTCCTAGTCTGAGGAGCACAAGGAGGATCGGAGAAGGGTATCTCTCTTAATGGAGGTGACAGATTATGTTGCTCCTCCCATCCTCCTTGCAAGGACTGAAGCTGCCAAGGGTATGGGAAAGAATCTGTGGCCCTCACCTCTCTCTAGTGCCCGTTGGATATCCTGTGCCTGGTCCTCAGTGAAACCCTGGGCCAGGCTTGCCCTCAAAGTGGTGAAGTTGCAGATGACAGTCAATTCCAAGGGGAGAGCAAGAACAGCTGCAGGGAGCCCTAGAGCAACAAATGCTGGTGTCACAGACTGCTCCCCCATTAAAAATTCCCTAAATAAGATCCCAAACCACAGATCACCCCACCTTAACAAAATGGCCTCAATAAAGAATCCACTCTTTGGACTGAATCTGGAAAGGGCAGAAAGTGCTCCAGATTAAACCAACTCTCGAAACCATTTCTTCAAATGCTGCTGTGTGTGTGTGTGCACGCACGCATATAATGAAGCAATTCTCCTGTACCAAGACCATCCACTCTAGTCCTGTCTGTGCCTTAAACAGGAGCCCTTGTCCCAAGTAATTGCCTCAATCCCAGAAATGGAGAAGGATAACTAGTCTCTGGCTGTGGAGAGGGTGTGTGTGTGCATGGGGGCGGTACTGACCACCCTGGGGAGGACCCTGCTTACCCTGCAGACTACGGAGGAGTCCCCTGAGCCCTTCCAGAGCATCTTGAGCCAAGTGCTGTCGCCTCAGAGACAGATCCGAGTCCTGAGCCACCTGCCAAATGTGGGATGTAGTGTCACTGAGAATAAGTCCTTTCCTCTCCTCCTGCAGCAGTGGCAAGGGAAGTCATTCTCCAGTCATTTCTGGCTTTAGGGGGAGGTCAAGCTCAGCCTCCCCGCCCCCATTCGCTGGGGTAAATCCACAGCAACTCTCTTTCTGGTGTTTTGGGTCTGCAAAGGAAGGGTTCAAGCAACCGTGTTACCTTGGCCTGTCGAACGAGTCGGTCATTCTCTGCCCTCCACAGGTCCAGGCAATTGGCTTGTGGCACTGAGGAGCCCAGAGGGGTCTGGTGGGACATGGTGGCCGAGGCTGGGCCCGGAGACCTGGAGAGGCCTGCAAAAGGTTAAGCCTGTCGCGGCTGCAGCCCCTACCCGAGCTGGGAGAAGCCCATGCACTTCCGCACCCCACCGCGTCACCTCTGCTCCCGTACCTGAGAAAGGGACTCTCTCCCCGCAGCCTGGCCGGGCTCTCTCACCCTCGCCTCTGGTTGGCGGGGCCAACAAAATTCTCGGCTGCGGTTGGTCGTCTTCAAGGGATAGTCCCCGCGGGAAACTCGAAAAAGAAACACGAGTCCGGACAGATCAGTGAGGAAGGCTGAGGCGGGCGGGAGGCGGAAGGCGGGACTGAGAAAAGAGTTCCTACGGCTCTGGGGTCCACCGACTCCGCTTGCAGGCCTTGAGAAATCGATACCGAAACCGGAGCCCGAGGCTGAGCCCTTCCTTGCAGCCACACTTTCAGGCCCGCTGGATTTCCCCTCCCTCCGAGGAGGGCGGACCCGTGCGATGCATGCTGGGAGTCGCAGTACCACCGAGAGGCGCTTGAGAAGTCCGACCGGGAAAAAGTGTCTCCAAAAGGCACAGACTGGGGATCGAGGCCGTCAGTAATCCGGCCATCCTTTCCTGCTCACCGTAGAACATGAACGCGCTCACCGCAGGCAGTCTGACTGCTGGCAGCGCCGCCCTGTGTTTGTGCAGCCTGTACTGCCTACAGGTACCTGCCCAGTCCTTTCAGAAAATGGAGATAGGAGAGTTGGATATTCGTATGCCACACATAAAATCAGCTCAAAATGGATAGGTTGAAGTTTATTAAAATTAAAAACTGATGCTACAGCTCTGGCTGATGGGGGCCCAGTGGGTAGAGCGCAGGCCTACAAACCGAAAGGACCCCAGTCCGATTCCTGTCAGGGTCCTTGCCTGGATTGCGGGCAGGTCCCCAGTTGGAGGTGTGCAAGAGGCAACCTATTGATGTGTCCCTCCCTCTCTTTCTTCCTCCCTCCTCTCTAAAAATAAATAAGATCTTTAATAAACAACAACAACAAAACTTATGCTACAAAGACACCATCAAAAAAGTTCAACCACAAAGTGGTAAAAATTATTTGCAAATCATTTACTTCATAATGGACTTGTATCCACAACGTGTTACTCTCAATGCTCAATAATAAAAAGACTTACCTGAACCATTGTAAGGCAGGCAGAAAAATATGACTATATATTCTACCAAAAAGATACATGACTGGCTAAGAAGCACACAAAAAGATACTCAACATCATCAGCCATTAGGGAAATACAAACTAAACCCATGAGATACCACTGTGCACCTGCACACTTAAAATGGTCCCCCCAACCCCCCCCCCAAAATACAGATATTACCAAATGTTGATGAGGATGTGGAGAAACTGGAACCCTCATACACTTATGGTAAGGGTATAAAAGGGTACAGTTACTTTGGGAAACTTTTTGGCAGTTTCTTTAAAAGTAAACTGTAAACTTATATGACTCAAATTCCACTCCAAGGAATCCTCCCAAGAGAAATGAAAACATATGTCTACACCAAGACGTGAATGCAAATGTTCACAGATGTTTAAAAAAATATATCCACAATAGCTAAAAATTGGAAATAATCCAAATGTCCATCAGTTGATCATAGCCATGGAATAAAATATATAACTCAGCAATAAAAAGGGGGCAAAAAGTGATACATGCAATGACATGGATGAACCTCACAAACCTTATTCTAAGTCAAAGAAGTCAAACCAAAAGACCACATATTGCATGATTCCATTAATATGAAATGTCCAGAAAAGGTAAATTATAAAGACAAAGATGAGTGACTTGGGGAAGGATTGGAGATTGATCGTAAACAAAGTACAGAGAATTTGTGGGAGAATTAAATCGTAGCACTTGATAACAGTTTCTTACATAGGATATGAAAAGAACAAGCAGCGAAAGAAAAAATAGGATAAAATGAGCTTCATCAAAACTTAAAAATTTTGTTCTTATGTGCTATACAAATACTTGAAGGTTAATTAGCAATATAACTAAATAGTAATGCTCCCGGTCTCCATTAGACAAATAAACAAAAAAACTTAAAAATTTTGTGCTTCAAAGGACACTGTCAAAAATAAAAAAAAGATAACCACCCACAGAATGTTTTTTAATAGGTTATTTTTTATATTTTTCAAATATTTTCAAATCATATATGTGATAAGGGACTTATATCCAGAATACATAAACAATGCTTATAACTCAATAATAGCAAAGACAAAGGATCTAAATGGACAGTTCTCCAATAAGCACAAGAAAGATATCCAACAGCATTAGTCATCAAGGATATATAGACTAAAACTGCAGTGAGATACTACTTCACACCCACTAGGATGGGTAGAAACAAGATGAATAATAAATTGGCATGGATGTGCAGAAATTGGTACTCTCATACACTGCTGGTGGAAATATAAAATGGTGCAGCAGCTTTGGACAAGAGACATATCTCCTCAAGGAGTTACACATACAGTTTAACTTTTTAAAACAACTTTTAATTTTTTTAACAATCCCTCAACAAGTTTAACAGAATTACCATGCGACCTAGCAATTTGACAATATACCACTAGGTATATACCCAAAAGAGAAGAAAACATATATCCAAACAAAAACTTGTGTATGGATGTTCATAGCAGCATTATTAATAACCAAAAGGTGCTAACAACTCAAATGCCCATCAATAGGTGAATGGACAAGCAAAATGTGATATAGCCATACAGTGGAATATTTGGCCATAAAAAGAAACAAAGTACTGCCCTGACTGGTGTGTCTCAGTGGGTTGGGTGCCATCCTGCACACTGAAACATCAGTGCGATTCCATGCTACATGGCTGAACCTTCAAAACATTAGGCTAAGAAGCCTGACAGAAAAGGCCACATACTATATGATCCCATTTATATGAAATGTCCAGACTAGGCAAATCCACAGAGACAGAAAACAAATTTGTAGTTGTCAGAAGCTGAGGGCAAAGGGGATTGAAAGTAACTGCTAATGGTGAGTGATGGAAATGTTCTGGATATAGCAGTGATGGTAGCACATCGTAAGTGTACTAAGGGCCAATGAATTGTGCTCTTTTAAATGATTAATGTTATGTGAATTTTACCTCAATTTTAAACAAGAAAAAGAGTGAAGTACTGATACATGCTACTATGTGGATGAACCTTGAAAACATTAGTGAAAAAAGCCCGTCACAGAAGGCCATACACTATATGATCCCATTTCTAAGTGTCCAGAATAGTGGTTGCCTAAGGCTATCGATGCAGGTGGGAAGGGATGGAGGGTGACAGGAAAGAGTGTGTAGTTTCTTTGTGGGTTGATGAAATGTTCCAAGATTGACTGTGGTGATTGGCTGTGGTGATGGGTGATTCACAACTGTGAATATACTAAAAATCATTAAATTGTACAATTTAAGTGGGTAAATTTTATGGTAAATTGTATCTCAATAAAGTTCTTTTTTTAAAAAGGAACAATGAAGCTCTGACGGGTGTGGCTCAGTGGGTTGAGTGTCATCCTGCAAATCAAAAGGTGGCTGGTTTGATTTGGGGTCAGGGCACATGCCTGGGGCACGTGTGAGAGGCAACTGATTGATGTTTCTCTCCCTTTCTCCCTCCCTTCCCCTCTCTCTAAAAATAAAAATCTTGAAAAGAAAAAAAGAATGAGTTAGTGTGGAATGGGCTCTTTGATGTCAAGTAAAAGGCAGAGATAAGAATTTTTATTTTTTTTAAAGATTTTATTTATTTTTTAGAGACGGGGGAAGGGACGGAGAGAGGGAAACATCAATGTGTGGTTGCCTCTCATGTGCCCCCCCTACTGGGGAGCCAACCAGCAACCCAGGCATGTGCCCTGATTGGGAATTGAACTGGTGACCCTTTGGTTTGCAGGCTGGCACTCAATGCACTGAGCCAGGGCAGAAAAAAGAATTTTTAATAGTATAAATCAATATGCTAATATATCTTTCTCTAAAAGACTATCCTTAGGCTCCAGGGAAGGGGACTCCCTGCAAAGAAAAAGCAGCCGGGGCAGGAGCAAGGAGCTAACCTGAGGACAGGGTGAAGAACTGAGATCTGAAATCTTTCCTATGGGTCTAGGGGTGGAGAAAAGGTTTAATTTCTTTTCACAAAGGCACTGTCTGCTCAATAAATGATGCTTGGGAGTTGTGTTCACCAGATTGAGGGCATGGGACTTTTTTCTTTCTAATTCATCTTACAGGCTAGCTGAAGCCTAACTTCTCCCTTCGCTTTATTGAAACAATCCTTGCCAGGGCCAAATGTCCTATCCTCTAATTGCCTGAAAACAGTGCACACTTTTCACCATCTTCCAATTTGACCTCTATTGCACTAGACTGTTGGCCATTAATAATTAGAACTCTTCCTTTAACTACCACAGCAGTGAATGCCTTTACTACACACTCACTGCTACTCAGCTTCTCTTCTTACCCTGCCAAGTAAAGGTAGGTGCTATCCCACAACTTTAACATTCATTCTTCTCTCTTTCAGTGGTCTCATCTCCTCCTGTCCTGAGTACCCTTGAATCTCAAACCTCAGTCTTAACCCTTCTCCTTAGAGCCTCTTCCTTACTCCTTTGATGGACATTTCTGCAGGGATTTCATGTCAGTACTTCTAAATGGCACAGGAGTAGTGAGGTGGATGGAGGACACAGGAGACATACATGAGGAGCATTAGATTCATAGTTTTGGCATCAAGCCAAGAATAATCAGTGGGACAAGGAATGCTTTAGGCTGGGCAAGTAGGTCTGATAGAAGGCAACAGTTTGGGAAACTAGGGAGGCCTCCACAGAAGTGAAGGGGAAAGGGTGTTCCCCTTGGGCAATCACTTCACAGCACTACTGGGGCTTTAAGACAGTGAAAGTTTATGTGCTCCAATATGCCCGGGCTTGTCTCTTCAGCCATCTCAGTTAACAAAGATAAAAATATAATAAAATATTCTGCATAGCAAAGGAAAATGGCAGATGAGATAGTGAGAGTGATTTGGGAAGATGTGGGAGAAATGAATTCACACAACTCCAACCACTTCCCAAAGGCTCTTAGGTAAAGCAGTTCTGCAGAACTGATTCCATTGGTGGCTGGTGGAAAGGGAGACTGACCCCTCCCCCCCCGAATAGCCCCTGTAGAATAGTGGGCACTTCCCCACATCTCAAACACACATATTTACATTATTATTTTATTTCACTTTGGAGACTACCCCCCAGTCCCTCAGATGCATCCAAAGCAGGAGTTCAGGATCAGGCCCCATCATGATTTTTAATTATAAAATAATAAAGTCCCAGATGCCAGTAGCTCCTGGCTGCATGGTGCTAAGAGGTGAGGCTGAGCCTCTCTTGCAGATGATCCAGCACCTGTATAGGCCAGACTAGACTGTTCTCCAGTTCTCCCCGTGGCCCCCAGAGCCAAGGCTACCTATGCTGGGCCAAAACTAGCTGCCGGAACCAGGAGCTCACAGCACCATCCACTCGCATCACTAAAGCTAGGCCCAGGAAAAGTCCCACGCTGCTCACAATGAAGCCCATGGCCTCAAAAATGAACCTGCAAAGAAAGGTGGAGAATATCAGGGGACGTTAGGAGTACGTCTAGAGCCTTTTCCCTGCTGAGGCAAAACCTTGTCCACCCTGGATGTTTATTCTTTGTTCCCAGTTCCATCCTCCCCAACACTTCTAATTCTCAAGCAAAATCCACTCACTTGGGGGCAAACACCTTCCAGACCATGAGATGCCTGCGGAGAATGGAGGCTGCCAAGGCACAGGCCAGAATCTAAGGGAGGAGAGGAGGAGTCAAGTTAGTTAGGAAGAGAAGGAGGAAGAGAGCGCTGCTGTAGGTCCCTGTGAAGAATAAGAGGAGGTGGAAAGTAGTGTGTCAGTGGAAAAAACCCTGAGCTTGGGCAAACACTGAGGAGACCTAATTCTCTTTCTGGCCCCATCATTTGTGCTGCTAACACTCAGGCTCTGCCTTCCAGGGTGGAGGAAGATTTCACAGTCACACCACACCCTCTGCCTTTGAAGGAGAGGAGGAAGATCCGTGACCACACCTTGGGAAAGAATCCCGGCCATCACCTCAGCTTTTCCAGTCTGAACAATAATGGAGTAATCCCAAATGTAACCAACAGGGTCCAAACCTAGCTTGTAGACAGGAAACAATCTAAGCCTAGGATTAACGAGATTCACATTCAAGTTTCAATACTGCTATTTGAGGCCACTATCTTGGGCAACCACTTCACTTATCTGTGTCTCAGTCGAGGCTCTCACCCCGGGTTTCAGCAAAGTACAAAAAAAAAGAATGTGATGAGCACACATAAGAAAAGGTCACTAACTCTATGATGTCTCCCCTTTACCCACCTGAATACCAAGGACAAAGAGGTACTTGAGGCTCAGCTGCAGCAGTGCTACATTGAAGTCGTGAGGTGCATTCCAGAGTCGCATCTCCATCAATGGTTCCTCCTCCTCCTCAGGCCCCACTCTGGCCTCAGCTTCATTCCCTGGGGACTGCCGCCTCCTCTGGGACCCTTGATGCTCACATAGGAAGGGCCAGAACAGGAGCAATGGGCAACCTACTATCTCAGAGGAAGGCAGAGCTAGAATCAGTGGAGAACCCAGGGTCCACACCAGCCTGGCCCTCAACCACCCTAGTCCACTCAGTCTCTAATGAACATAGGACAGGGGTGCAAGAGATCCAAAACTGCATCATGCTACTCGAATCCAGGAAGTTACTTTCCTTCTACAAAGCCAGAGTAAACAATGGAAGCAAAGAAGGAATGAGGAATTACCTGAAAACAGGAGGTGGGAGGCAAAGGTGTTGGCTCCCACCAGTAAAGCAGGCAGCCAGGTGGAGGAACCATGCCCTTCCGGGAATCCCACGAAGGCTGCGTGCCAATGGATGGTTGGAAAGACAGGCTGATGACCCGTGGAGTAGAAGGTCTGTGTGGCCATGAGGGCCCAAGCAGAGACTGCCTGCCATGACACAGTAAAAGGACCTGGGGAAAGAAATAAGCCTCTTTATGGTCATATTCCATTCCCTAATCCATAGCCTACTGCCCCCTGATCATATACTACTTCTATACGTCGATGTTAATTCTTGTACACAAACATGCCCATCACCCCAACCTCCTATAGTCAACACTTTGTTATTGTAATTCCCTCCAAGGCACGAAGCCCTGTTACTCTAATCTGAACCTCGCTGTGGAAAATCTCTTTCTCTCTCATATACACATTAGCTCACTATGACATTATATACTCATAATTCACCACTCCCATGACTGGAAAACCAGAAAATGCATTCATGAGGATGCAGCTTTTTCTTAAGAAAGTTTTGGAGTACTCGTCGTTTCCCTCCCTCATCATGAATGCTGCTGGCCCTGAGAGCCAGTGAGCTTGGCTACAGCAGATAAGGGAGAGGACATCAGGAAGACCCTCCCAACTGTGTGGGGCATGAGACCCTGTGTCAAGGTGAAGAACCTGAGGAGGAACATCAGCCTGAAAAGAAAAGGGGCCAAACTCACAACCCTACTGTCCTTGGACGAACCAGAGCTGAGATATGTATTTACCAGGGGTGATGATGGGTATCCCAGCAGCAAGCAGATGCAGGAGAAGGAAGCTCTGCAGAAACAGAAGCAGGAACACAAGGCTGATGCGCTCTACGTGCAATAGCAGAAGTGGGAAGGCCAGTAGCGTGAGGGCCGTGACCATAGCAGCTGAGTAGACATTCCCCAACCGACAGGCGGCCATGGTCGGGGGACCCTGAGATTTGGTTCTCTCCAGCCGGCCCCGGAACTCCTCCTGCATATGCCGGTAGATTTGAGGAACCACATAATCCAGGTCAGCCTGAGAAGTTGGGGGGCCTGAGAAGGGAGTGAGGACAGTCCTGGTCCTTGGAGTACCCATTGTAGCCTTTGCCAGCACCGTCACAGGCCTCCAGAGCAACAGCAAGAGCCCTGAAGCAGCCAGCCCTGCCACAGCCCTGGGCAGTACAACTGATGCACCAGCGACCAGGGCCCGGAGACGTGGGGGTGCTTCATCTGCCCCTGATGCCAATGCCCAGTAGGCAGCAGTGCCCAGTACCATTAAGGGCAGCCCCCACCGCACAAAGAGCACAGGGGGCTCAGGGCTCTTGAGATTACCGTAACGGCGAAGCCACAGGCGTACAGCAGCTAACAGGGCCACCAGAGCCCCTACACAAGCTCCATACCACAAATTCTTGGCTCGACCCCCCACCATGGACGCCAGGGGACTCAGCCAGGGAGAGGAGTGGCAAGCAGGTGTCTCTTCAGGGCAGCGATGAAAAAGCCCAGCTATCCTTATACAAAAAAGCAACCCAACCCCAAGCCCCAGGGCATGCATTCCACTGTGCTGTGGGGAGCCTGTTGGGGCCGAAGAGCCAAGGCGGGGTATTGTGAGTAGCTTAGGTGGCAGCAGCTTGCCCTCCCAGTGAAGCTGGGCAAGCAGGAGTAAGATGAGTGAGCCCAAAAGGAAGCGGGTGGCCCTAGCCTCAGCTACAACAAAGCTATCAGAAAAGAAAGCAGCAAAGCGAATGAGCAAGAGTAATAGAACAGGCCCAGGGGTGGGAAGCAGGGCTGCCAGGGGCCTCTTGGATCCCCAGCCAGCCCAGGCTTTCCAAAGAAAATGTAGGAGTGAGCCCATTGCAGCCACAGCCCCTAGAACCACTGGATCCTGCTTCAGCTCGGTAGTTGCCAGGAGCCCTACACACACAATGGCCCCAGCCAGACCCCAGGCCATGGGTACTAGCAGAGGGCAAAGGTAGAAGCCTGGGGATGTTGCCCACTGGGATATCATCAGACAGAGAAGGCAGGCAGCAGCCAAGAGAACAGCACCCCCTGCCATGCGGACCAGAGAGAAACGAGCCCAAGACTCAATGCACATGGCCCGAACTCCCCGCAGGAACTGTTGCAGTTCAGCAATCACAGTCTGTAGTGCTGCCTCGGCCCCCTGGGGGCTCTGCAGAAGCCGCTGGTAGTCAGCAGAGGCCTTGGAGAAGAGGTTATGCAGCCGATGCAGCTCCTCAACTTGGAGGTCCTGAGCAGCAGCTGAATAGGTGTGAAGAAATCGGGACACCTGGCAGAAAAGGTCAGAGGCCAAGGGGAACAGATCAGATATTGGGACTGAGGCAAAGACAGGTATTACCAAAGGGGGTACCTGGAAATCAGGGAAGCAAACTCTGTCCAGGACAGGGAGAAAGAGGGATAATGAAAGGAGGACATGGCTATGCAAGGTGAGATTAAGGCTGAACATAGGACAACAGAGTGGGGTCATGCTTCTCCCATGTCTGTCATAGCTCTGGCACCTGGAAACCCAGCCCATTACCTACCTGCTGGGCATTGAGATGGAGAGCTGAAGCTTGGGCCAGAGCAGAGGAGTGAGGCTGGAAGTCTACAATCTCTGAGAACAGCTCAGTCATCACCTCCCCAATGTTCCCAAATGGAATGGGCAGGCCCAGCAGCAAAGCCAGCGTAGGCACAAGGTTGATTTGCGGAATGACCTCTGGCTCCTAGGGAACAAGAACAGGGGTCAATAGGTTCACCACAGAGCTGAAGTCAGTGCTTGGGATGGAAGACATGGGGTGTAGGTGGGAAATGGGAGTGGGCGATGCTCAGTGGTCTTGAATTTGGGGGCTTAAAATAGAAGGATCCACAAGGATGCCATGATCATGACACAGGTTGAATACCTGGAAACCAAAGCACACCTCTCAGGCCTCACCTCTGGTGGGGCCCTGGGGAAGAGGGCTGTGGGACTGTACAGAAAAAGTGCAGCCGAGATCTCCAGCTCACTGTCCCCTCCATGGTCCCCACTCTTGGTCATTCCATGGTCTCCAATCACCACCAGGAGTGTGTCATTCTCCAGACGTTCCACAACTCCCCTGGGGGCCAAGAATGTGTCAGTGATAAAGACGGATACAGATTTTTCTCAGGGGCCCATTCACCCCCAGCCATAACTTCCATTAGTGGGGCCTAGTCCTTTGGCAGAGAGATACCTCTTCAGTAATAACCCTATTGCCCAAAGCCACACACTGAGCTACTCAAGATGGATAAGGCCCCTAGATTCAGACAAAGGCCTAGAGAAGACAGAATCCAGCCAGGGAAGAGGCTCCAAGGTAAGGGCTTTTTCTCTTGGGATCATATATCCTTAGATTCTCAGACACAAACCCAATCCCCCAGACAATATCCCACACTCACTGGATCACCTGGTCCATTTGGCTAAGTTTCTTGGCCATTTCAGGGTGGTGAGGGCCATGCTTGTGGCCACAGTGATCCACACCCAGGAAGTGAGCAATCAGTACGTCCCATTCACCACTGTCCACTGTGAAGGGGAGAACACTGAGCACAGGGGACCAAGGCCGCCTCCTCAAACCCAGCCAGGATCTGATGCTCCTATGTCTAGGGACACAAGCCCAAGCCACTGTACCCACTGAAGGCTCAGAATTTGTGGACTGAAGCAGCCCTCCCAGCCCCGTCTTAGGCCTGCCTCTTGCCCCATGCTCACTGGTTGGGTAGAGGTGTTCCAGGATGCCGTTGTCCACTGTGTGTAGGTCTCTGACATTGAAGGAGGGGAAGAAGAAAGCTTGGGAGAAAGCTCCAGGAAAAAGGTCTTTCCAGGTATCATCTCCCATGAAGACCACACGCCTTCCTGCAGAGGCATGAGAGTGGGTCACAGCCTGAACAGGAGTCAGGGCAAGGGAAAAGAGGAGAGAAAGCCCTTTAAAGACGCATCAGAAATCCTAACCATGCACTCGAAGGCACAGAAATCTCACCCAACAATTCTTGATCCTTCAAAGTCTAAAATTTTCTGCCAGGAAACTTTTACTGACAACCATACTCCACCCAGGCCTCTCATTCCTTATTCCTACACAAGGCTCTGCTACTTCTTAGTTGCTGGCTATCTCTGCTGCTGTTTTTCCTGGGTTTATCTTCCTTTTTCCAAGTCAATGAATGCACAGAGCCTAACCCTCTGCTCTCTCTTCCACACTTGTGACAATATCCAGACCCACATCTCCTCTCCGTTTCTCCCCTGCTCCTTTACTGAGAGTGTCCCAAAAGTAAAACCAGGGCCCCATGCAGATTAGAAACTCCAGAAGAACAAAGCCTGGACCTGTCCTCCCTGCATGCATGGACATGGTCTTTTTCTCTTCCTCTGTTTTCCCACAGTACAATCAAACATGCAGCCAGACACCCAAAGTTCTGGCTCTCTGACTTCTAAAGGAGAAACTTGCCAAAATACTTCTAGCCTCAAAGGAGGCCCAGACTGACCTGCGCTGGCAAGCTGCTTAATGAGATTGTCTTCCACTATGGCGTAGCTGGCAAAGTTACTGCCAGCATCAATAAAGGTAGGCAGTGAGCCAGTGGTGAGGGCCTTAAGGCGTTGCATAGTGGTGGTGGGAGGATCAGCCTTAGATTGGTAGAGCCTGGCATGGTGGGGTTGAATCTCGAGGATCCTTTGCAAGGAGCCTAATTTGCCCAGGAAAGGCAGAGAGACAGAAGGCTTCCCAGGAATGTGTGAGCGCTGTGGCTGGGCGAAGTCAAATCGCAGAGCATCTATCAGCACCAACACAACCCTGGAAAATCTCGAAGCCATCCAGCAGGCCCCAGGCTCCCCTAGGCTCCTCCATGGAAGGGGCCCAGAGCCTGGGGGCTCTTGGCAACTGCTGTAGTTGGTGAGCTCCAAACGGGTGAGCAGAAAACCACTGGTGAAGAGGGCAATGCCAGCGTAGAAGAGGAAGCTGATCCAGATCAGGAAGAGCAGCACTGAGATCTTCTGCATCCTGGTGGTGGCGGAGGGGAAGAGAATTCATCACTGTGGGGCAAAGAACCAGTGGGTATTCTGGTGCCTCAATGCAAAGCCCAGATAGAATCACTTCCTCTTGGAAGCCTTCCTGAAGATAAACAGTTCCATTGCCAACCCAACGCAATGTTTCTCTCCACCAGTTATAGCAGTGTTTCTGAAGGTGAGATCCGTAGACTATGGGCATGAACCCAGAGTGGCTATTAATAATGCTGATTTCCAGGCCCCTCCCCAGAGCTACTGAATCAAGATCTTTGGGAGTGGAGCATAGGAATTCTCACATGTACTCCAGGAGATCCTAATGATGAAAAACACAGTCCACGAGGGAAACTTATTCCAAGTGGTAGACTGCTCTGTCAATCCGTTTCTCCACCTCTCCTTGCCAACCTCAGCACCCCTGGGGTGGTCAGGGCTCGCAGCCGCAGGACAACCTTGGAGGCTCCTGGCGGGGACCGAGGGGGCCAAGGGGAGGTGTCACATTCCGCTTCCGGACGGCCAGGATCACCACACCAGCGGCGAGACCTCCTCGAGTAGCAGGGCAGAGGTGTGGGGTCTAGAGTCCGTTGGGCCTCACCGGGATGCAGGTGTCCCAATGGCTCTGCCTCTTCCGGCGACTACCCGGCCGCCACCTGGGCACCCTGACCCCAGAACCGGGCACCTAGGCTGCGAGCTGGGGGAGAGTTCCCTTACTGCGAGGAAAGGGGTTTCACGAAGCGGTTCTCGGAGACCCTGGCTCACCTTGAATGGCGCCCGGAAATGCCTCGGCGGCGCCTGCGACCTGACACCACGGACGGGCCCGCGCCGAACAAAGCGGCCCGCGGGGGCCACATCGCCATCTGCCGGCGCCTCCGAAGAAATTCTGCAAGGAGCACAGGGCTGGTAAGAGAGTTCAGTAAAATTACAGTATTCAAGAGAATTGGAGCAAGAGGCAACGTTGGCAGACAAATTCAAGGAACCACCCTCCATCCTTGGTTAAAACTAAGAGCTAGGTCTCTGGAATCAGCCCACCTGAAGCTTAGATCCTCCGCTCACCGTCATTATTGGATATCACCTCAACAGTAAAATAGGGATAAATAATTATTTTCCCCTTTTCCTTTCGCTGACTCCAACTGACAGATTTTATTTTTCCCTCTCTCCAGTCTCACTGAATCTTACAACTCAATAATAAAAAGGCAAATAACCCAATCTAAAAGTGGGCAAATGAACTGAATACACATTTCTCCAAAAAAGATATATAACTGACCAATAAGCACATGAAAAGATATTCAGCATTAGCCATCAGGGAAATGCTAGAGATACCATTTTAAACCCACTAGGATAGTTAGAATCAAAATGGTAAATAACAAGTATTGGCGTGGATGTGGAGAAATCTGAACCCTCATACACTGCTGTTGGGATTGTAAAATGGTGCAGCAGTTTTGAAAAACAGGCCAGAACTTCTCCAAAAGGTTAAACATAGGGTTATCATATGGTCCAGCAATTCCACTCATAGGTATATACCTAAGAGAAATGAAAACATATCCAAACACACACTTGCACATTAATGTTCACAGTTGCATTATCTGTTAGTCAAAAGGTGAAGCCTACCCATATGGCCTTCACTGATGAAGGATAAATAAAATATCATATCATTCCATTTATATGAATATATAAATCTAGAGAGACAGAAAGTGAATTGTTGCCTAGGGCTTGGGGAGAGGGAAGTGACTGCTAATGGATACAGCATTTTTGTGGCAGATGGGGACAAGGAAGCGGTGATGAAAATGTTTTAAAATTGTGATGGTTGCACATCTCTGAATGTGCTACAAAAGTACTGAATTTACATTTTCAGTGGGCGAATTGTATTGTATGTGCATTATTATTTCCGTAAAGCTACTATTAAAAACAAAAACTTCTCTCTGGTTTTTCATACCAAAGTAAAACCTAAGTTTTTATAGTGGCCCCACATAGCCCTACAGGTCTGCACACCAGCTCCCAGCTTCTCGGATTCATCTAGCTGCCACTTCCGTGCTTCCCGTACCCTGTTCCATCTACTGCAGCTCCTCTGCTCTTCGTTATGACAGACATGCTCTTCCTAAAGAAGGCCTTCTTCCCAAAGGCCTTTGCATTTGCAATCAATCTCCTCTATCAGTTTTACTCCCAGATGCCCAAATTTACTCCTAATTTGCTCCCAGATTTTCCTCATCTCCGTATCTAAATTCAAATATAACAGCAGTGAGGCTTCCTGGAACCCTCTACTTAATATTACAGACCCCACCCCAATTCCCCATCTTCCTTCCTTCCCTTAATTTCCTTAGCACAACTCATCAGCATCTGAAATACATATTATTAATGGTTTGTCCCTTCTAGATAGAATGTAAGCTCATTGAGAGCAGGGAATTTCTTTATTACTGTATCCTTGGTGTCATATGGCATACAGCTGGGGTTCCATAGTTATCAAATGGATAAAGTCTAATTCAGAAATGTCTAATTATCCCTTCACCTCCAACCCAATAGCCCCTTACCACAGTTCAGGCCTCATCACCCTCTCAGGGATCACAGAAGCAGCCTTCCTGTTGTCCTTCCAGCCTCCCACGTCAACTGCCTGTCCACATTGCAGCCGAAGAGCTGTACTTAACACACTAATGTGGTCACCTTAATCTTAAAATTCTTCAAGGGAAGGGGGGAAACCTTTCCTGGACTCCTCCTACCCCCTACGTCGAGGACAAAGTCCAAATTCTTCAGGACTCTGTGATTTGGTCCTTGCCATATAGTCCTATCTCCCTAACACGCCACCATTCAACCATAGCAAGTAACTGAATGTTTCAGTTTCTCTGGAGCTGTGGGCCTTTGGATATTTGAGCCCCAAACCCTAGTTTAGTGAGTGCATTAATTTTTCCAGCCTGAGTTCAATGACAGAGTTGGCAATTTTGCTGCCCACAAGTTGACGTGCTTCTTCTTTCGGTATCCCTCAGCCAGATTTTTTCTCCATCATAATACTTACCACTTTGTGTCTCTGTTTCCTTGCTTGTCCCCTTGCCTGACCTGGTATTCTATGAAACAAAGCGCTGCTGAATCTTCAGTTGTTTTTCTAACTCATGTCTAGCACTGAGCTTGGCACATCATAGACATAATTAAATGTTTTTAAATAAATGAATGTCAGTCTCCCTGAAGACCCTTTAAGCATTCAGCAGTACCACCCTGAAAAGGCATTCCCCTTTGCCTTGAAAAATTCCGCTTAACACCTGCTCGAATTCACAGCCCAACACTTAGTAGGAAGGGACTCCACTCCCCAGCTGGCAGTTCAGTGGACATGTGGTTTAATCTTTCCACCCTATCCTACAGCTTCTCCTGAAAACAAAAGGATGATTTCACATTACACCAGGTTCATTCTTGCTCACAGAGGATTGGCTCCTAAGACCTGATAGGACTAGAGGGTGGGAGTGAACATCCAAGGAAAACGATGATTTTTCTCAATTTCACTTTCCAATCAGAGAGGACAGTTTCTGGTTTGCTACTAGCAAGTTTATTACATGATTAAAGTTCAAATAAAAAAATAATAACCAAAATCTCAGCAAGGAGGCTAGAGCCAGAGTTTGGAAGAGCTGCTTCTCTGTCCCCAGCCTCTTTGGCCAAGCCCAGCTCCATTAACTCAGCTTGACTCGATCAAGTTCCTCGTTAAGACTTGCATCTGTGCCTTGGACATCTCTGCTGTTTCCACTGGAGACTGAGTCTTGGGCCCCTTGCACTGGGGTTTTGGTGAGGGCCCCATACACACCCATGGCCTGAGAAGAGGAACAGAGAAAACCATGAGGACATATGGTAGAAGGGTAGCACAACACACCAATGGCTAAAAAGAAAGCCAGCTTGTTTGTTTTTCCTTTCTCCCTCTCTCAAACGTCAGTCTTATAAGCTTTGGAGCCAAGTTCTAGGAATTTTACAAACTACCAGGGCAGGGCCACTCTCAATCCTATACAGGTATCTGTAAAAAAAAAAAAAAAAAAGAAGAAGAAGAAGAAAAGGTCTCAAGGGCTTCCTAATCTCCAGAGGTGAATGGGGGTGTTTCATCCTTAGAATTTTATTCTCTACATGGAATGAAGGAACACCTAGGTCTCAGAGCATTCTAAAATCCTCTATGGTATATCAATGGTGATGGTATGTGTGTGGCGGGGGTGTCTCAGTCTCTAGCATTGGTGCTTTGTGCCAAATCCTCAGGGCACTCTAACCTGAGCCACCATACTGGTGACATCGCCAGGGTTGGAGGGCAGCAGGATAGTGTTGGAGTCCTTGGCCAGCTTGGAGAACGCACTGACATACTGCTCAGCCACGGTCAGTGAGGCTGCTGCATTTCCATTCTGTGGCCACAGGAGGGATAAAATCAGAGATCACAGACTTAGAGGAGGGGGTGGGGTGGGGTGGGGTGGGGTGGGAGGGGATGGGGGAGTGGAGAGAACAAGTCAGGTTCCTGGAAAGATATGCAGATCACAATATAAGAGATCATGCGGGCTCAATCGAACCCACAAGGGCAGGAGTTTCTCCCAAGGGTAGATAAGAGAACCGCTTCCACAGTCAATTCTTGTCCCCAACTCCCACTCAGGGGCCTCTCACATGTTGTGTCAGAGCTGCAGCCAGGATGCGAATAGCTTCAGCTTTAGCCTTGGCTTTTGCCAGAACTGCACTGGCTTCACCTGGAAGAGACAGGATTTGACCCCAAGCTCCTATCTCAGCACCAACCCTCAAATGCCCTGCTCCTCCCTTAGGTTCTGCTAACCTGCTGCCTGATTTATTTGTTCAGCCTTTTCTGCCTCAGAGGCCAGGATCTGTGCCTGCTTCTTCCCTTCTGCCACGTTGATGGCTGACTCTCGGGTCCCCTCAGACTCTAAAACTGTGGCCCGTTTCCGCCGCTCTGCCTCCACCTGGAAGCCCCCGCACACCCAATCAACAACAAATCAGAATAAAACTCTAATACAGACCTACAACTGGACCCATTACAATAGGGAAGGGAGTCTAGGTTCCCACGCAATTAGAGCATCAAAAGTCCTCCCTGGTCCCCACCTGCATCTGCATGGACTCTTTCACCCGGGGCGGTACATGGATATCCTTGATCTCATAACGGAGGCAGCGGATGCCCCAGCAGTCAGCCGCCTGGTTGATGGCATCCACAATGCTAGCATTCAGGGACTCCCGCTCCTGGAGGAAGAGAGGTATAGAAGAGGCATAAACCTCAATCCACATTCATCAGGGGTCTAAGCTGAGAAGGGCCTATGACTGATCTGGACGCCCAGAAAGGACTAAAGAGTGTCAAGCCTGTGTTTTCAACCCTTAACTCTGGTTCAGATCCCCTTACCCGGAAGACTTTGTCCAGAGACAGTTTGCCAAGCTCTGATCTCATGGTCGTCTGAGCTAGCTGGGTGACAGCATACTCAGGGTCCTCCACACCATAGCTTGCCTGAAAGGAGTATGGATAGTGTAAAAAGTTTGGGTGCAGGATTTCAGTGAGGAGAGCAACTCAGGAACAGAATAAAGCAGAAAACAGATACCTTGTAAGGATCCATGATACGCAGGTAAAGGACTCCATCGATTTGCAGAGTTACATTGTCTGCAATGCGGAAGCAGAAGAGAAAGGAAGGGAGGTCAGGCTTCCTGGTCCCAGTCAGCTCTTTCTCCTAAGCTCTGGATCTCCAGCAACCACATCCTAATGGCCTCAGAGCACCCAAGTAACCTTACACCCCTCACCAAGAGTCACAGCTGACTGCTCAGGCACGTTGATGACAATTTCCTTGAGACT